GAAGGTTACAGTACAATTCAGATCTTTTGTAATTTTATGAATAGAAAGAAGATTCGTGGAGAGTTTAGGAACATGAAGAGCATCTTTAAGATGTAAGGACTGTTGTAAGTTTATGTCACCAGAACCCGCAATTGATGTATGTGAGCCATCAGCTATGGCTATAGTATGAGTTCCAATGGTAGGATGATAAGAAGCAAAGGAGTCAGCACAACAAGCCATATGATCAGTAGCATCAGAATCAATAACCCAGGAATGTTTAAAATCATTACATGAAGAAAGGAAAAAATGAGTTTTGGGGCTCATACCAGTCAAAGCCAAAACACTAGTATCAGATGGCTTACTTAGATAATCAAGCATGGTTCGGAGCCGTTCTAACTCATCTAGACGAAATGCAGGTTGGGTCTAATTAGGTGCAGGAGTTATTCCAAAGGAAGTAAAATGCGCTTGACCACGCATCCTTGCCATCTTTTCTAAGACAGTTTGCTTTCCATGGAGGCGAAAGCATAAATCCTTGATATGACCCGTTCTTTTACAATAAGAACACCATCGATCATCTCTCTTAGGTTTAGAAGATGCACCATCATAAAACTTTGTAAAGGAACTCCTTTGAGAAGAGGCCATACTGCACAAAAAACAGTCAACGAAAAAGGCTCTAAGAAGCCAAAAAAATTCGGAAAAAATACCAAACGATGTCCGATCTGAGAAAACAACACAGATCCAGAAAGAGAACAAGGAGACAAGAAGAATGGTGGTGGTCCGGTCCAGAAACACCGCCGGACGCGCCTCCACGCGCCGGAGAAAGCAGCTGCGCGTGGGCTTCACTCTCGGACAAAGAGGCGGCGCGTGAGAGCGCGTGGCAAGGCTTCTCCGGCTGAAATTTTTCCGGTGTGGTCGTCCGGTGAGCGCGCTCCTGTCTGTGGGTGGTTGCGGTTGAAAAGTCACCGGAAAGGGTTCTAAACGGTGAAGACAGGTTGAAGGCGGTCAGAGGTGTTTGGGTCGTTTTAGGCGGAGGAACGTTGCGTAGAATGATAGAACAAAAAAAAAAAAAGGTCAACAGTGGTCCCTTTGGTCCAAAAGGTCTCCGGAAATTTTTTTCCGGTGGCGGCTGATGGCGGCAAGAGGCAAAGAAATTAGGGTTTTGTAAAAAAAAACAATAGGTGCGGAAGCAGAGCCCTCAGGATCGAGAGCTCTGATACCAACTTGAAAAAGGTTTATGAAATATTAATTGATTTGTATTTGAATCTGTACATAGGGGTCTCTATTTATAGAGACTTCTTGTCCTAATTTTGACCTAATGGGCTTGGCCCAATATACAAGTAACAGACTAAATAAATACAAATAAATGACTACATAATTACTAATAAATGACTACATAACTACTAATAAATGACTACATAATTACTATTTACAACATTTACCTTTTATTTCCATTTATATTAGGTCAGTATTGTAGAGACTATATAAAGGCATGATTAGGAACCTTGTTATTTAGTTTGTGTTTTCGTTTTGAGAGTTTATGTTTTTTCAGTTTCAAGATTCAATTGCAATTTACGTTTTCTCTCTTTTACTCTTTTGTTCTTCTTTATTTTCTTAATTGCAATAATAGTTTTCTACTTAGCCATGCTAGGTTAAGCGTTCTTTAATCAATCCAAGAATTAAGGATTCTGCGGTTGAATCCGGAGGACCAACGCTTCATCTTGATCCACATCGTTTCTCTTCCTTCAACTCGAATTCGAGTTCTGCGATTGTACCTAAGGTTAGTGATTAAAAATTAGATTTAATGTTTAGGTTAATTAACCTGATGATCTTAAGTCAAACGGGCTGATACTCTGCGATTGTGTGAATAGATGTGCCGTATTGATCAAATGCTAGGCGATCGTCTAGAGAGGGGTTCCTAAGAAATTGTAGGGATTCCGTATTACTTAGGGTCAACCACGATTTGGTAATTCTTTGTCCAAAGATGGATATCTTGGAATCCTAATTCTTGGATTGATTGTTTTTAATTCATAATTTTAGTTTTTAAATCCTTATTTTTACTTTCTTTTTTTAATCACACAAACTCCCCTTTTTACTTTTTGTTTTTAATTGATCGATTAAGATTCTTGCAAATTTCTTGAGAGACGATTCAGGTTGCCCACTTTGTTACAAATCTTTATTTTTATAAACCTGATTAATTTGAGTGAGTTCGACAGCTCACATCATGCATATAGACGAAGTGCAAAAATTAGTGAACATAACAGTTTCTAGAAAAAAATTTACTTTGAAAACAGTGGGTCCACCATAGAGATATAGATTATGGTTCGTCTTGTGAGGCTCTAGATACCATGTTAAATATCAGGATATGTGAGGTATGAAGTAAATCTATATGTCATAACTACACAATAGAGACTCTGTTATAGATTGATTGAAAGAGAGAAACATAGAAATATACATGATATAGGATTTCGTTCCTTATACCAAACTACTTTATGCAATTCTATTTACAACAACATGTTTTCTCAATTTGATCGCAGCCAACTTGTCTTTTTGCTCCTTTGTGAGGTCAAAGACTCTTTCGAATATGCAACCAGTCGATGAACTTATCAAGGTGTATTACGCCCTCAAATTCATATATCTCAATTTTTATTCCAAAGTTGGCAAGAAATGATTGATTCTAGGATGGGTTCTCTACCATCGCTCTTGGTTTGAGAATCGAGTTTTTCCCTTTCTTCCTCATATGGCGACCAAAACTTTCAATTACGCCAAGTAGTTGTTAAAATTGCTTATGCTTATGTTTTCTCATTAATTTGGCAGCTTGTGCGTCTATGTGGCATTTGTGTGCTTCATCGACAAGAAGAATTTCAAGTCCTCTACCTCCGTTTCGACCCCTTGGTCCACGACTATGACCGCCATTTATAAAACAACCGAGCTTTGATTACCAAATAATGTTGAAGCTAAGCAAAATTGGCTAAACAAAATTGAAAATAAGATTCAGAGTAGCCGCAGCTCTTAATGATAATTTTATTCAATCAAAACCAACCAAACAAACTGGGGTTTGCATCGCCATTAAATATGCATGGAAAATAAAAGAATAAAATTACAAAATTACCAAGTGTAAAATAAATTGTTAAAAATAAACAAAACAAGCTTAAAAAATCAATGAAAAGCTCCAAAAATAGTCGATCTTATGGCATGGCTTTAGTTCAGAAACGTAATTTGGGCCCAATTTGAGTTGGTCGCCCCGATTGTGTCAAATTCTTTTATGATTCTTCAAAATTTTGTGTATAAAAATTAAATTTGTATTTGTTTATTCGGTTCATACGATTTATCAAGTGACCGAACTGCTTTTTGTAACATTGAATATAAATTAATAAATCATTTTTTTTGTAACAAAATTAATAAATCTTTAGTTTAACTTCGGTGTATTGTCATTGTAAAATATTTTCTTATTACTACTTTTATTCAAAGAACTATTTATATTATTACCAAATCTTACGTTATTTCAATTTTATTACAAAAATAATGAGATAAATTATTAAATAATGTTACAGATAAAATGGAAAATTGCCAAACGACCGTAAAATTTAACAAAAATACCTTAAACTATTGGGGTGGTTATATTTACTACTAGTTTAGCCTTACTACTCTTACTACCTATTTGGTTACCGTCACATTTATTTGAAATCAACGGTTGAAAAAGAAGAAAAATTAATTGCCGTTAATTTCAAATTGATCCAACGGTAACCAAATAGGTAATAAGAGTAATAAGATTAAAATGTTAGTAAGTATAATCTTCCCCTAAACTCTTACCAATAATTCTAAGTTTAGCCAATTTTTATGTTTAATACATTATTATTATTATCATTATTACTACTACTTTTGTAAGTAATAATACATTTTTTTTTAGTTTAACAAATTACTCACCCCATGTAAGTGAAGGTATATCATCAGAAACGCGGAAGCGCATCGTACCGATGCGATGAGGAATGAAGAACACCGCTTTGATTACCTGGAATGAAGCAACGAGCGTGACAAATTCTCACGTTCAGTTCTCCTTCTCAAGCCTCACGATCTGCAGCAACGCACCACGGACGGTCGCAATTCCGCTCTATGGTTGATCTTCCAGGCTATGACTCAAGGGGATCAGGGAGTCGTGTGGGCAACCGTTCAGATGATGAACATATGCCTCTTTGGTCTGTTTCTGATGTTTGTAACCCTTGGAGGCACTAGAGAGAAAAGATAGTTTATATACTCTACCCAATCCAATACTAACCCTAAGCTTCATGGGTTGAAATTAGTCTTTTGGGCTCACTCTCACTGAAGCTATTGAGCTTAAGTGAAAAGAGCATAGTAAACCCAACAGTAAGACGCATATCTGTTGTCAATGCTCATGATGTATAACAATAAATTTCATATAACAAACAAGAAATAAGTAAAATCGTAGAGATAAATCTATTTCCCGCTTTAATTCGTGTTAACTTTTCATGCTACAACTTAATGTATTTAATTACACCAAGTAAATAACTATTACATCACATTACACACAATCAGAGTACGTAAGCTCGTATATCCATTCGTAGGATCCTCGTCAATGTATCTATGCCTATCATAGACACTTGGGCACATAAGAAAAATGCTCTTAGTAAATCTTCCTTCCATAAATGTCCTTCAGAGCTGGACCATTTTCTAATAGCCACCAGTGAGCTTCTAATTTTGGCTAACAAAAATTGCCTTAAACTTTGAAATTACAGCTATATCTCCTAGCCAAGACCATACAAAATCTACTTATTATGTGTTCCGTTAATCAAATTTACTCAAAATTTTCATTGTTCTGAGTTATAAGCCTTATCAAACAGAATACCAACTGTACACCCTTTTAAGCTCAAATCATAATGGAAATTTTTAAACTATAAGTCATGGATTTGTTGATTTCTATCTCAAGCATTGCATGACCCAGAAAAGAAAGTTTTAATGCTTATTCAAAGGGTTACATCTGCTGTGGAATCCAACTTGGTTCAAAGATGAATCATTATTATCTTCAGCAGAATGATTTGGTAACGCTTGAAGATATGAGAGGCCATGCTACAATTTCTGATCAAAAGGGCACTGTAATTTGTCCTAAGCCAAGGCGTTTTGGGGTTGTTCCTAACATGCCCACAAGGCCATTAAGATTGACATTTTGCCAAGAAGGTGAAGGGCCTGATTCAAAAGCAGGGGCAGAACTTCTAGACATCATTTCCAAGGAGAGATATGACGAAGAACAACATGCAAATAATGAAGCCTCATCATCACCTCCTTATTTTCTTGGTTCTCCTCCTGTTAGAGCAGACAACCCTTTTATCCAAGATGCCCAATTTGGATATGAAAAGGACACTCCTCAATCAACACCTTCAATTTCATCATCACCAGGTTTATCCTCTCCATCTTCTTCAGCATCATCAACATCATGTTTATTATCTCCATCTTCCCCATTAAGGAAAGGAGGGTGTGTTAGAATGAAGTTTGGAATTAAATCAGCTACGGTTAGAGTTGTAGGATTTAATTGCCACGTTCCTGCTTTTGCCTAATCTCGTTTCAAAGGACGTGTACATAGAAACACAAATGCCATCATTATTGTGAACCATTGCTCAACAATAGATATCAAATGCCAGAGTTAAGATATGCCATTGGTATTGTATATATCAAAATGGTTTTGTAATGATGATCAGCGTCTTTGTTTTTGTTCATATGGGATATAAGATTTATACAATCAATTCAACCCAAAAGGATAAGATGTTAAATGAGGGTTTATGATGCATAAAGCCCAGCTTACCTGTGCTAAGAAATTTCACAGTAATTAAATATTTTTATTAAGAGAATGGGACAGTGATACTATGTAAAAAACTAATTCAACCCAAAAGCTTAAGCTATTGGGTGAAGATACATTAATGATTTTATATTTTTCTAACACGCCCCCTCGCACGAAAGTCCACTAGACTTGAAGGATGGACAATGCACACGCCTACCTACCTGTCCTATGAAATTCATGTAAAGAACCAATTCAACCCAAAAATTTAAGCTTTTGTGTGATGCTACATTAATGGTTTTTTTACTTGTCTAACACGTCCACTCAAACAAGAGCCCATTGGGCTTGAAGGGTAGATAATGCATCAGGTCCAAACTACTTGTGTTAAAAAATTTCACAACACTTAATTATTTATTAACTGAATGGGGGAAAGTGAGGATCGAACTCATGACTAAGGGTGAAAGTGGGCTGAGCTGAGTTGAGCCTTGTCCCGACAAGCCCAAGCCTATGATAAAAAAATCCAATTTGACCCGGCCCAATAGCATAGTACGTTAGCCTATTAATTTTAACTTTCAAGCAAAACCAAGAATCAACTTCACAAAAAACTCAAATTATGTTGTTAAAACAAGAATCACAATTTCAACATCCAAACAAAATTATAAATCACAACAACAACTTATCACAATCTGCATTTAAGCCACTTCTCAGCATCCTTCAGTAGATCGCTGATCACAGCAGTGAGGTGCTCAATGGTAGATCTCATCATTATCCTACCATTGTGGATGTGCACCAGCTGTCCCTCCACATCCAGCATTCTGTGTTCCAGCTGAGTGATTTTCCCCTCTAAATATGTACCAAAAACTTTGAGAGCTTCTTTGGTTTCTGTTCATTCCTCTGTGTTCTTGAGGAAGAGTTTCTTTACCTGTAGCTCAGCTCTAGTGTTGTGAAGGGAGTAAGCAAGTTGCAGGGATTCAGATGCTTTCTTGATTTCGTCCCTGACAGCCTGCAAGGTTGGTGTAGATGGTGCAGTCCTGATGCTGCTGATGCTGTCTCTTATGGTGTTAAGGAGCTGCTCTCTTTCTGTTCTCTGCTGTTCCTGGAATTTGTTGACAGCAGAAGAGAGTTGATCCATTCCGTTCCTAAGAGCCTTCAGCTCTTCAGTGGTGTCAGTCATGTTGATCTGAGGAACGGATGGAGTCTCAGGGAGCAACTTCTCCATCTTCCTCCCCAACATTTCAAACAGCTGAACAATCCCTATCTGAGATTTTCTCCTTGCTGCTAAGGGGATTTCTAGAATGGGGGAGGATGGCTTTTTCTTCTTCTGGTTGATGTTGCCCGAAGCTGGAGGTCATTCAGGTGCTTGCCTGACAGCAACCTCCTGTATTTTTGAGGAAGATGGGGCAATTGTTGTTTGTTCCTCCATCGGTAGAGGGACTTCCAAGCCCTCTTCTTCTGCTAGAGCCCTAACAATAGCTTCGTCCCCAGAAGTATCGAGACGGATGATAGGACACGAGAGGGGTCCTCCCAGGCTAAGTTGCCTGGGAACAATTGGCTTTTACTTTTTAGGGGATTCAACCAGAATCCCTTTTCCTTTATCAAGGTTCTTTTGTGGATGAGCCTCTTGCTCAGCCATATGTTCTTCTACAGCAGGATTTGCATCTGTTTCTTTTATTCCCTCTCCTTTTTGTTGCCTAGGAGAGGGTTGTTGCATTACTGGTGGTGGTGAAGAATGAGCAGGTGGTGGTGGAGGGGACGAAACGTCAGAAGATGAAGTAGCAGAGCTACTTGGGGACATTTCCCTAGCAGCTGGTTTGGACGTTCCTCCAGTCTTCATCCTTTTTGAGATAAGCTCATTTTCTTTACTGTCCCCTTCCTTGTCAGAGAGGGTGATAGGTTTCTCAGAGGATGCTCCCTCTGGCCTTTTAGTGCTGCTGAAGGTTCTCTTCAGCCTCTGGCTAGAACGTTCCACCTTTCTTGGGGGAGCTTTGGCAGGGGACTTCTTTTTGCCCTGCTTGCGCTCAGTAGCAGCAGGGGCTTCCTTCTTCACCTTGATGGGAGGTGGAACGGTTCTTCTTTCCTGAGTGTAGGCCGAAGTTGATGATTTTGAAGGGGTGGCCTTCGTGGTTGTCTTCTCTGGGGCCTCAAGGCCCTCTTCTTCATCAATATCACCTGCATCAGTGGTTCTCAGACCATTCCATGTTTTGAAATCGATGACAGACCCTACCACTAGGTCTTCATCTTCACAAGTCTTGACTTTGGCTCTCAAGCAGAGTTTTGTGATTAAGCAAGGAAGACAGACAGTAGTCTTTTTGATTTCCTTTTTCAGGCTGCTATATATGAGAGGTACTGCGTCAAAGGGAATATTCTTCATGATGCAGTAGAGTTGTATCTGTAATGCCCATTTGACTGTGGCATCATGAGAGGAAGGAGTCAGATTAGAGTTAGCAAAAAGAGACCAGAATCTGGCCTCGTCTTTCAGACTGCCTTTGCAGAGGGCTCCTTTTGAATAGACAGGATTACTAGTGATGATCAGATTCCTTACTTCTTGTGTGAACTGTGGGACTTCCTTGCTTTCGATGTACCCTTGGTACGAGCAGTTGGGGATAGTTGGGAGGTTAAGGACTTCCTTGATGGCAGAGGGGGAGAATGACACTTTCTTCCATCTCACCATTACTTCATCATTGGTGTATCCTTCGGGCAGCCTCTTTGCGTGGTACAGGAACTCAGTCACCAAAGAAATGTTGAGTTCTCGTACATCGGTGGCGAATAGAGTCCACCGTAGTTTGGTTAAAGCTTTCTTCATGAATGATGGAAGAGGAGCTTTATCCTGTACGAAGATGTTTCTCTCTAGATAGAGAGCTACAACATCTTCGATGATTTCTGGGTCTTGGTTATGGCTGGCCATAGGGACAATGGTTACAGAGAGTCTAGTCATGGTTGAACAAAAAGAAGGTCAGGGCACAATGCAGAGGGGAATGAGAATAAGAACAAAAGTTTATGAGATTAGCAGAGAATGGTAAAGATTGAAGAAGAAAGGAGATGAGTTTAAATAAGCATGCAAAGGAGGGAAAATGATGAATTTTTCAGGATGTGGAGGTTAAAGACAGGGATTTGAGGAGGTGGTGGAATGGGGACATTTGTGGAACGAAATGTCAGGGTGAGTGGTTTTCAACTGCTTCTGATGGTGGTAAGGAGGTGGAACGGTTTTAGGTTAGAAACGTGGGAGAGAGGGGAATAGGGTAAGAGCAGTTGTATTAATGGCTGAGGAGACAGTTGCTTTTTCAGGGCACGTTTTCAAAATTTGCAAAAAGTGCAGATTTGATAACGGCTGCGTATATGTGAGTGACTCAGCATGGACAGGTGTCTTCGTCACGCTTATCTCCTAAGCCAGGGAATGTTCCCTTTGTCTTTTACCTATACTATAATAATAAACTAATTCCTAACGAATAAAATGTAAACTTGCTTAATAAAAGAACTCGAAATTGAAATTGCATGGTAAAGAAATACTAATTATTTAAAAATTGCAACTGAAAGTGTGTGCAATTAAAATTATAAATAATCACAATTATATATATATATATATATATATATATATATATATATTAAATGAAAACAAATATGGGAGTGTGTGGTTATTGAACCACCCCAAAACTATGTTCCTGGAACGGAACGTATTTTAGTTGGATTTGGAGTTGAACATCAGACGTTCCCTCCATTTTGGGAGCTGTGTGGTTAAGGTTGCCCACCCCAAAACTTTGCTCTTTGTTAGAAGGCAAAGGTATCCACTGGGTTGCCTCTCAGTCAGCGCTTAGTTTAATGTCTTTAGATAGACATGTTACTAACCTCTCTGGTTTCTGGGGAGGTTATTGAGGGAACTTCAGTATCCTCTGGTAAATGTCCTGGTGTCCTGGTGTTAAGGCTAGCAGCTATCTGTCCCAGGTGGGACTCAATGTTTCTGACCACAGCATCGTTCGTGGTGACATATTCTTTGACATAGCTTTCCAGGGTGTTGATGCGTTGGTCATCTATTTGGAATGGAGCATAATTGGTTCTTCTATGTGGTTCATAGGCTCCGTTCCACCTGCTTCTGCCTTGTTAATACTGCTGCTGCTGATTGTTGTATGGCCTTTGGTTCATGGATGGTCTTCATTGTGGATTATGGTTCTGATCCTTCATTATGGTTCCTCCAGGGTTTTGATTGTGGTTGCTAACTGCATTCTGATTGTCTCTGGCCTGGGTGAAGTTTCAGTTCCCGAAGTTTTCTGCATAACATACCAAGGCAGTAGATGGACAGTCTGTTGAATCATGAAGGTCACCACAGGCTGAACATGGTTCACTCTCAGTTGCTGTTAGTTGTAAGACTTCCATCCTTGGTTGTTCTTGATTAACTTTCAGGTTCTTCACCTCATTCATTAATATGACCAGTTGGGACTCCATGGCAGTTTGTTTGTCTATTTCGAGCATGCCTGGCTTCCTTACTGGGCTCATCCATTCCAGTGGCCATTGGAGACATCTTTCTGCAGTGCCTTCAATGATTTCGTACCTGGATTCAAGGGTACCTATAAAAATATATCCTCCTGCAGCAAAGTCTAAATGTGATTGAGAAGTATGGTCAATGCCTTTATAGAAAGACTGTAAAACTCCCCAACTCTCTACCCCATGGTTTGGACATTTTCTGATGATGTCCTTGTATCTCTCCCAAGCTTTATAAAGATATTCTCCATGAAACATTCTAAAGTTAGAGAGTTCTGCCCTAACATTAGCTTGTCGAGACATAGGGAG